AGAAAGATTATTCTATGAAAAAGGAAAGAGGCTAGACTGTCATATAATATATAAACATGATAAATTAGAATTAGATACATTCTATTGTGATATATTATATTTTTACTGTGGCATATTTTTCTAATTTGTCTAAAATTGGACAATTTTAGTGTTTTGAACTTTTAGATTTATTATTTTATTTAATAAAAGAATAAACATTTTCCACTAGTATTAATGCATGTGTTAAATTGGGACATAGTTATATCCAATAAATATATATACAATTTTTGATTATATAATAAACAATATATAATTTAAGCTATTGAAAAATACTTTAAGATTGGGACAATATGATAAGTATGAAGTGGTACGTAGGGATTTAAGTTTATTTGCTTACTTACTATTTACTTTCTTAGGCTTATATGCTGCTCCATTTCCAAAGACTCCAAGTGGCTTACAAGTAACCCCAAAGTGAAAATATAATAGATATACAACAAGGATCTGATGTATTACCTTTAAACCATTATCAGATGTTCCCAAAATGGCTTTATAAGGAGCTATTTCATAATTCTATAAAAACTTAATTGAGTGGGGTTAGACTGATATCTGGGGGTAGGCTGATTCAGAGGCAGGGCACTATAACTGGGAATGCTTCCATTCAAGCAGATGGCATTGTCTTAGACATAGAATCTTAGCAAGCCCTCTCTGCCAGATCTCCCCAGGTGGACAGATTCCAGTCTGAGATGGTGGTCTTGGAGATATCCATGCCCAGAGCCATATAGGACATTAAAGATGATAACCAGCATCTTTGAATTATGCTTGGAAGCTAACTGGCAACCAGTGTAGCTCCTGCAATAATGGTATTACATGGGAAATATAAGTAGACCCATAACTACTCAGGCTGCTGCATGTTGGACCAGCTGAAGTTTTCAAGAAGTCTTCTAGGCAGACCTATAAAGACTGTTGCAACAGTCAGCTGTGAGTTGACAAGGGCATGAGTAACTGAGAGCAACCCCCTCAATTCCAGAAATAGTTGCAACTGACAGACAAAATGCAATTGTATAAAGGCCTCCTGGCCATAGTCTCTACTCACTGGTCAAGCAGGAGCTATGAGACCAGAAGAACCCCCCAGACTGCAGGACAACTCCATCGTGAATCAATATGAACTCTTTCTGGAAAGAGTTGGCTTTTGTATCCACAAAATCTTTAGTTAAGATTTAATCTAAGCTTTTTTTCCTCCCCAGTCAGACCCTAATAGCCTCCAGAAATTGGGTCTGGTCCTCTATTACACCTCTTGCCTGATACAGGATGGTGAAGTATAACTGGGTTGTAATCAACATACTGATGATATCAAACCCCAGGCCAGTAGATACCCTATTTTAGCAGCTTCATGTAGATGTTGAACAGCAGGATAAAGAGGAATGAGTCATGGTGGACCCCATAATAAAGTTCCTGAGGGTGTGACCTCTCTCCACCCACCACACCAACTGGAACTGACCACTCAGAAAGAAAGAGAACCACTGCAAAACAGTACTTCCCAGCCCTTACCACAGGCACAAAAGGATACCATGGTTGATAGTATCGAAAGCTGCAAAATGATCAAGCAGGACCAGAACAGTAGCATTATCGCTATCCTGTTCCCACCAAAAGTCATCAAGAAGAGCAATGAATGCAATTCATTCCCACACCCAGGCCTGAATCCTCACTGGAAAGGATCCAGGTAATCCTTTTCATCCAGGGCTGTCTGTAGCTGTAGTCCAAGCACCTTCCCAACCACCTTCCCTAAAAACAAAGATTGGAGATTGGATGATAGTTGACTGGAGTGATGGCTTCTTGAGGAGGAGGTGTGCGAATGCCTGTTTTTCAAGGAAGAAGGCAACTCCCTCTCATCCAAAGATGTGTTTCCCACTGCCTGCACCTAGATTTCTATTACCTTCCTTCCAAAAGTGTACACAGTATGCTATGGCTTTGAGAAGAACTGAGAATTCAGAATTCAGCAGCGAATTTATGTGAGACAAAAAATAAGTCTAAGCAGTTGCAGAAACAAACATTGTGAAGAAAAGTTGATATTACTTCAATTATAGTATCAAAAAAGCTTCATTCTGACGATGGAAAATATTTATATATGCAGTACTTCCAAAGAGTTTAAATGTCTTTTTAACTAATCTAATATATCC